GTCGTGATTTGGCTGAATTTTATCCGCGTACAACGTTTTTCCATTTCAAAAAAGTGCATTTTTTACCGAAATCGTGAGGAAATCCCCGTCCTGCATGCAACGCTATCTGCCGGCCGACCCACACACTTCGCGCGCGCTCCGCCCCGCCCCCACCCCATTGCGCCCGCCCGCCGAAAGCTCGAAAGCTCGGGTAGCAAGCACACGAAGCAGGCCCGGACAGGCGTTTCTAGGAATTCGCTCGAGGCCAGGAACGGCTCGGACTGTTGTCAGTCAGTGTTGTGTTGTGTTGTGGTTAGGCGTTCACTGTGCGATTGCCAGCGTGAGAAGGGAAAATGACACCAAGACCAAAACGTCCGCCGGTACCAGGCGTAACAGGGGTGAACCGCCCCCGAAAAAGGACTTCCTTTACGTTGCAGGGTAAGCTAAGCATCATTCAAGAGGTTGACCGGAACCCAAATGAATTGAGAAAAGACATTGCCGCACGCCTGAAGATACCGGTGACCACCCTGAACGGCATAATGAAGGGACGAAAGAAGATAGAAGAGGCCTGTATTAATGGAAATGTCAACAGAGCACGAGTGACGACAGGGCAGTACCCCGAAGTTGAGACAGCCCTCTTAAATTGGATGAGGCAGGCACGCACCTTGCCAGTCAGAGTACCCTTTAATGGGAGAGTGTTGAAGGCGCGAGCAAAGCAAGCAGCTGGGACACTCGGATTCAGACAATTCACCGCATCCGAGGGGTGGCTCACCCGATTCAAGGAAAGGCATGGGATAAAATACAAGAAGGTTTCCGGCGAGAGCGCCGACGTGCCAGAAGAAACTGTGGAAAACTGGACATCTGTTGTGCTGCCTGGCCTCCTGCAGGGGTACACCCTCAAAGATGTGTACAACGCCGACGAGTTCGGTCTCTACATCAATATGCTGCCGGACAAAACCATGTGCAGGAAGGACGAACCTGAATCTTCCAAGGGGAACAAGCAAAGCAAGGCAAGAGTAACCGTTCTCCTTGGCAGCAATGCGGATGGGTCAGACAAGCTGCTGCCCCTGGTAATCGGCAAAGCCAAGACGCCGAGGGCTTTGTCCGGCGTTCAGCGGCTTCCCTGCACCTACACGAACACTGACAACGCCTGGATGACCGGGGAGAAGTACGAGTGGTGGCTCCGCAAGTTTGACTGTAGGATGAGGATTGAAAAGCGAAATGTACTACTCTTCGTGGACAACTGTCCGGCCCATCCCGCTGTCCATGGTCTCACAAATGTGAAGGTGGTGTTCCTCCCGAAGAACACCACGTCTAGGCTGCAGCCGATGGACCAAGGTGTGATTAAGAACTTGAAGCACTATTACAGAACTCGACTTGTTCAGCGGCTCATCGGCTTTGTAGGTAGACAGGACCTTCAAAGAAAAGACTTCTTTATAAACATGTTTCATGTGCTCCATTTCCTTATGGTGAATATTTTCCCCTCTTTAATATTGAAATTACAACTTGCTTTACCGTTACTTGACGTAATGCTTTGTATTGCAGTGGTCATGGGGCCAGGTGACACCTGTCACAATCTTCAACTGCTACAGGAAAGCTGGCTTCCGCGAGGTTGGGCCCGACGAGGTGCTCCCTGACGGCGCTGCAGCTGCAGCGGAGGCCGCGCTTGCTGCAGGACCGGCGAGACGAGGACGGGGAGCTGCGAGCACACCTCAGCGGGGAGCTGCTTCTGGACGTGGAGGCCGTGGTCGGGGCCGCGGACGGGGCCGCGGTCGAGGCCGCGGCGGAGCTGCAGCGCCGCCTCGACGTGGACGTAGAGCTACGCGACAGCGCCACTTCTTGAGCGACAGTGAAGATGAGGAGGACGTTGACGGCGCCCTTGACTCAGTGCCCTCCGATGGTCATGACACTGATGACGATGGCTCGAACACCGACGAGCAGCCTGACGAATCAGAAGACGAAGAGCAGCCTGACGACTCTCAAGAGACCGAACAGCGTGACCGTGACCCCGAGAATGAAGAGCAGGACATCTCTGTGGAGGGTGACGACGGGGAAGACGACGACGCCGAGCTAGATTTCGAGATGAGGGACGCGACGCCGAGTGAAATCGGCGATGCAACGGAAGTCGAATTGATGACCGTCGACGAGGAGGATGAGCTTGAGCTGGACGAGACGGTGGCTGAAAGGTAAGCGCAACTTCACTCCCCCTAGCTGTGGCTCAGCTGCACATCGCATTCAATGATTGCATTCCCTAATGCTCTCTGCCATCTTTACAGGTGGGATGACGTTTGTCACATGCTGGGACTGGAAAACTCTATACCTTTCTCAGCCTACGTTAATGCTGACAATCACCTACCAATCTGCGCCGAGCTTACAATAGAAGAATTCGCTGAACAGGCTCGACCAAAATCTACATCTGAGCTGGAAGAGGCGGCCCGTGACAGCGACGACGGGGAGCCTGATGAGCCGCCTGCACCCGTGCCAGCTAGAGAAGCAGCAGAGGCTCTTGACAAAGTGCGGCTGTTCTGCAGCCAACAACAGAATGTCGAGGAAGAGATTTTCAATTTGATGACAAAGATTGAAACACTGATATTTGCTAAACCTAAGAAGCAAACTAAAATTTCTGATTACTTTGTTCCTTTGTAATTATTGATTGTACTGTACTTAATTCAAGCACTGATGCATATCTAGTCTTATCATACCAAACTTATTAATTAAACTCTAGTTTTGTGAATTTTCTAAACTGCAGTCTCTCCATTCTCCCTTTTTCCCCTACCACAGCGATAAAGTATGGGTAATTATAAGCTGCACGCACTGCTACCCTTCGATTTACGGTGAAAAATGCACTTTAGCCCGGTAAATTTACGAAATTAGGGTATTTTCGGATACAACGTTCTCCGCTTATAACGTTTCGAAACGCTGCAATCGGCCAAAACGCTTTATCGAGAGTCCACTGTACATTCCTGTGGATGAAGTCTTTACAAAGAAGGAGAGGAACACTGAAGACTGAAAAATATCACAAAACATAAAACATTAATAGCTTCAGAACAT